AAAATTCTATAAAAGAAATTATTAAGTCATTTTAAGTGATCTTTACAATGCAATCATAAACATTTGGGGTGAAATTTCGTGTCATAGGCACTTTAAATGCACCGATTTATACTCGAGACTTGATGATCCAGACGAACGAACCGAAATGGCCAAAAAAAAAGCTAGTTCATCTAGCTCGCGTTGGTCTGGATAGTTCGTTTTGTGTTACGCAATGAATGACGACGATGCGTCAGATTTTGAATTAAAAATAAAGAATAGCGTAATTTTCGAGCCTATTTTTGTACTATCACTCTCGTTTGCCAGGACTTTATTATCTAAATATTATATTTACAAAATACGTACTATTTACAAACACAGCAGCATTAAAGATAAGAGATACTAATTCTAGCACATCTATAATTCCTAGTGGAGTGAGCGACCACCAGGGGTTGGTTGTTCAAAAGCCGGTTAGCCTAACCCCGGGTTAACACAAATCTACAACTTACATTTTCCAACAGATTCATCAATCAAGCTGAATATGTTTTTCCAGAAATACTTTCTGGTTCAATAGAGGTTTTATTTTCTAAAGTTTTGAAACGAATGCTCATGCAAAAATACATAAACAAAAACAGCAGGTTAAAATTTAACCCAAGGTTAGCGCTAATCGGGCTTTGAACAACCGACTCCAGAGGTCCAGAAATAAAACTGTATTGACATCGCATTGTATTAACTACTAAAGGACCAACTACAAATGCTTGATACAGAAAAATAATGTAATTATCTGGCATTGCAATTGGTTTGAAGACGTTTTAATGTAAAGATTTTCCCGTATATTTCACGGATTTCTATTGTCTACCAATTTTCTACAAAGAATGGATTATGCTATCGAGTCAATTTTTCAGTTCAATGGAATGGTGGCCACTCACTCCTGTCTTGGCTTCATCTAGAAGCTTCAACCCTAACTCTTATCTTAATTAATGTAGCCTGCGAACAGGCTCTTTGAATTGAATTAGAATTCAAAGAGCCTGTTCGCAGGCTAATCTTAATGCTGGTAGCAAATCAATGAGCATGCAGCGTTTTCGTGCACTATACAATATACGTGGAAAATTTTAGTACGAACTACGAAGCGAAATTTGAATAACTTGCCAGGGTCTAACCGATTATACTTGGACTAGTTCTCATGTTGGTCGCCATGTGGCGATATCTAACCACCCCCATTGAAATACCCAATCAAATTTAAATACATCGATGACTATTCATCTTATACTAACGTTATATATATTTTACACAAAATGAAACCATCAGTTTGCCTGTTATGAGTGGTAGTGGAAAGGCTACTCGTAAAATCTCAAGGTAAAACAAAACTAAACTTGTGGAGACCTTTGTTTTGTTTAATTGAGTACTAATTACTAATTTGAGTACTAATTACTAATTTGAGTACTAATTACTAATTAAAATACTATTTGACATGCTAGCATCCCCCGAGCACACGTAATGGAATTAAGAACACATTGTAGTCATCTTCTGCAAAATTTAATTCGAATAACATTTTGTGTGCTGGCGAACATGAGTTTCTAGAGTTCACACAACAGGCAAACATTTATAATCGTGGACGCACATTGAATTATTTTTGAGAATTATGAAAATTATCAGATCCCTCATCCAAACACTGACTACTCGCAACATTTACAGTAAACCTTGCCATACGTTTATCTTGACATTTCTTCAGAAGTTTAATATGGTTTGCACATGAAGTGAGCAAACATAGGGTTCTTCATTTCATCGAAGACCCATAATATAAATTTTCTACAAACCACAAAGCTGGAGCTTTATATTTTCTAATTTCATTGTCCTAGATTGCCGGTCGCTTAGATCTTCTGCACTTTATCTCGAACAATAACAGGATTATTTTTTCTGATTTCTGCCTGGCCCTCTGCCTTGTAATCGAACGAGCACTGGTGTTTATCAGAGTAGCGATGCAAGCTGCAGAATAAGCCTCCGCAGCGACATTGAAAACCTAGGAGAACATGGAAATTATTAGGCATTGCAGCAAGATGGTGCAGATTTTTAAGGCAGTTCACCTAATGTGAACACTACAATTATTTCAAAAATATAATACATAATAAGACTATAATTTTGGTGCTGAATTTAAGCTAAAGCCTGAGCAGTTAACAGGCTAGACTGTTTCAACTCTACAAATTCATACTATCTATAGTTATACTTATAAAGGGATACAGTAAGAGTTTGGACAAGATTGTTTCGTTCATGTAATAAAATTTTAAACTCTCACCTGTGAGGCCGACTTTCTTTCGGCATGTCGTACATCTGTTTTTCCTTTTAGTTTTTGAAGGGGAATCTTGTTGGTCTTCACCGTCGACGGTCACAGCTGTCGCTGTTGCTTCTGTTGCAGGTTCTGATGACTCTGCAACAGGCTGTTCTCTCTCTGCATTAGCTGTCGATGTTGATGGTGACATCTCTGCCACGACTGATGTGCTTGGCTCATCTGAACTTGCTGATAGTAATAGAATTGTTTATTAAATTAAGTTCAGGTGAAGGTAAGCCTTAGCACACAACATGCTACAGAACATGGGGAGTCACAGAGCGACACTACCAGCCCTTCAGGTATCCGTTTGACGTCCTGGCTAATAATAATTTGGGTATGGCCAATAATGTTTTGCTCTACTGAAGTGCCGGCTATTAATTGATGAGAGAAGCGAGTATGTAAAGGTCGAAGCTTCAAGGGCGCTGTGAGTTAAGTGGTGGGCAAAGGCTTGCAAGCTTTGTCTATTTGGTATATTGTCCGAGTGCAAGGCAGGGCTAAAAATTTGCACTTGTCATGACTGCAAGTACCGACGAATTACACACAGCCTCTGGCGAATGGCTGTCAAATGTCTTCTTAGCGATGGTGAAAATCGCCATTCGCCGGCCTAAAACAAGATGGGTGCACTACCTCCTTAATCTACTTAGGGCTGCAATCCTGGACAAAACACTGTGACACTTCCAATTATTTGACAAAATTTGGTAATATTATCGCAAATTTAGAAAACCCTCCCCAAGGCATAGAGGAATGTTTTAGTACACTGTCGCAGATGGTTTTGCCTATTATTTTACTGTGTCTAATACCGGATGATTTTACACTCAATTGGTTAAAAATTCTGGAGTTACAGGTCAACTAAAAAACTATGTGGAGTAGAGCTAACTATCATCTAAACCTGTAGTAAATGGGTTTAAAAATAAGGCTAAAATAGCTATTGAGACAAAATCAAAATTATTGAGGCAGGATCTCCGATCTGCCCAAGTCATACACAATTTGGTGTTTGATTCCAGGATCTAATCTCATCCCCAGGCTACTAGTTTTGGTTCCTTAGGTGGTTCCCAGACCCCTATGCCTACCTCCATTCAAAGACTGAGTTATGAATCCTGTAGGTGAGGTAGACTGTGTTCGTCGGAGAGCATCTTTGAAACATTTTGAACACATTCCATCAAATGATGAATTTCCATAAAAACCACAGCCAGCACGACAAAGAGAAGGTTGTTGGGTATTCTGATTCTCCATCCTAAAATGGTTACAAAATGAATGATTAATTTAAGATCAACATTTTTTAGACTATGAAGTTACAATGCACCTTACTTTGTTAGTAGAGAGTTTAATAATGCCTAATGGGCCTTATGCAGGTCTCCATCCAAATGGAAATAGTGGCAGAATTTGAGTTTCTCGCTGTCTGAGTTTACAAAATAAGCGAGAAACAGGTTTCTCATACTGGGGTGCCCTGTGTTAGGTCACATGAGTTGTATAAAGTCACGTGATAAGTGACTTTGGCATCTTTTAGTTTTTTGCACATCCTATGCAGTTACCCACCCACCCTCCCAGATTGGTGGATACTAGAGTTTGTTTGTTTGTTTTTTTTTAGTTGTATATAGTTTTTGTTTAGACTATGAACTGAACTGTTATCCGGGATTTGTTAATCATGTTTTTTATAAACAGATAGGTAAATAATAAAGGCACTGCCCTGCTTGCGGTGGCAGAACAAGTGGCAAAAAATTTAGGGGAGGTGCAGCGGTCTAGCTGACAATCCCAATGGAAAGTTTGGGCTTAGAACGGGCCAAAACATTGCAACAGAGATGAATGGCTATCACTGTTTCAATTTTACAGAAAAAAATTTTTACGAAGTGCAGACCCTGAGCAACAAAAAAGTCAAATTTTCACTTTGATCATTATAACTTTCTCAAGGGGAGGTGCATGACTTTTCAGGGGAGGTGAAAAATTCTCAGGGGAGGTGCAAAACGATCTCAGGGGAGGTGCACACCTCCTCTCAAAATCCGGCCATGGTTACAGCATCTTGAAAAATAAAAGTCCTGACGTCAGCATTATTTATTTTAGAACGCCTGCAGAAACTGTGTTATACCGGTGCACAAAATTAATTTAAAAATTCTTGGTTAACGTTAATACGGGACTTCATATCTGATATAAACAAGAATTTAAACATTTTGGCTCAAACTCACCTTTATTTTAGCATTTAATTTTTGGATAAGCGCTTGGTGGTATAAAATTGGCCATTTTATACCACCCAGCATTTATCCAAAAATCAAATGCTAAAATAAAGGTGAGTTTGGGCAAAAATATTTAGATTCTTGTTTATATCAGGTAAGAAGTTGCGGACGTCTTAACCTTAACCAAGAATTTTAAACTAAATTTTGTGTATAACACTGTTTCTGAAGGCATTCAAAAATAATGCTGATGTCAGCACTTATATTTTCAAGACGCTGTAACTCAGGAGGAATTAATCCTATTGATTCGAAATTTTTGGTGAACACTCGTAATGATATAAACAACACATAAAATGTCCAGTGTTGTAACTGAAATTCCTGGAAATTGGATGGAAACCTGCACAAGGCCCATTAATCAACCTTTACATTGAGTTGTTCGATTCCACAAAACATCCAGCCTGCCCCACGGAGGAAATTTCTGCCGTCCAGAGGTGGAGGGATGAAAAATTAGTTTCTGATAATAGTAAGCGTATTAGGACGTTCGAAGGGGGTAGAGGGGTTAACTTCTAACTCCCTCCGAGGGGAAGGTATGGATGTTTCCTGGAATGACCCCCTGCTCAACCACAAGGACAAATGCTTGCTTGTTGCAAAGAAAACTTTCTTCTAGGAAATTGTTTGAAATCCCATGGATGTAAAACACTTAATCTACTATTGCATCCATAAACCAAGCATGTGCCTCACATTCAATATATATTCTCGAGTGTGTGGTTCAGGTACAGGCAACGTTGAGCAATATTCAACAAGTTGACAAAAGGACGCAACACGTCATTCTCAACGTTAAAAACATAGACGATTTTCGAGGTAGAACCTTACATCGTTCAGCCAACTTCTTGAACATTCAATCTGTTGAGTAAATATGTCATTATGTGCCAAGTTTACATGGCTACAATACTGATTTGCATATATTTTTCAATGCACAGAACTGTACGTATATATTACACTGCACAAGCCAATACTGAAACCAGCTTACACAATGCTTTTATTTTTAGCTGAAAAACCTTAAAATCTGAACGATTCTATGTGCAAGAATTATCTAAATGTATAAATACTATTAAAACAGACACAAGGCTAATTCTTGCCGACTAATATATGATCATATTTGTAACCTCTTATACTGTACAAATGGATATTTCATTATTTCTTTAAGCATTGAAAAGGCCTTTTTGGTATTAGAGTTTCAAGTATATGAAACCCTGATACTTAATTATTTTTGAAAGAATGAAAAAGTTCGTTTTCAGTAGAAGTGCAAAACAATAGGAGCCATATTTGCTACACATAAAAAATGTCTCATATACTCAACAAGCGAATTTCTTGACTGATTCAAACATGATTCAAACTATGCTTAAGCTTTACTCTTGTTTCAGATAAAAGCTTATAAAATGCCTTAAAGAAACGAAGTTTTACGTTAATAATAACCATCTATAAACGTTTCGTGACCGAAGTAAAACAAAGGACAAAGCCGACGCTAAAATTTTTTCATTATGTTTGCCAAAGATTTGTTCTCATAAACTGAGCGTAATATCGTTTCAGAAATGCTGTTTATCGACCGAAGAGAATAACGAGAACTTAAAAACGCCCTAAGCTTGGTTTTAGCAAAATATATAAGCCGAAAGCCAAGCGAACAGTGATGTATTCGGATTTATATTTCTAGATATCCATGAAGTTGGCCATAACTTCCCTTCGACTCATACGTGGGCAAAATCACGGAATAATTTACTTTTCTTTTACGTTTATAGCATTTTATACATTTCACAAAACTGATACTGTCGTTTAACCACTTTATAACGCTCAGAAAACCAGAGAAAAGACTTCGAAAGTTGACCTTATCGAAATTATTTCGGAGGAAGGGCCGAATAATGAAAGCCAAACGATATGTGGTCACACACAAACGCACGCCTAATCCACCCTTGATTTCGTGCCACAACGCTTCATTCCCGTTAAAGTTAACGAACACCATTCACAAAATACTCACAGAACAGTATTCCTTCGTAAAGGCGACGAAAGAGCGTCTTCTTGTCCAAAAAACAGGCCACTATCTTGAGAAATTTGACTTCGATATGTTGAGCTTGGGGGCCTTTGTTTGATCCCCAATGACTGGCACTAGTGACGTCATGAATTCTCTTTCGTCATTGGTCAATCAGAGATGAGTCATGTCGTTTGTCGCTTGACAACACCCCACAAGTGTTTTCTGGTCACAAAAGACAGCAAAACGTGTCAACAAAAACGAAATTTGCGGTTTAATGATGCTTAACGCAGCTACAAAGACAAAACGCCCATGTCCGGAATACAAAAGCACTGTCCGTAATAGCAATGCAGTGGCACGAAACTCATTTGGCATACTTTCATATCATGAAAACCAGACATGTTCTGTGTTTGACAACAAGAGACGGTTCAGACATAACCCAATTATTGTACCATTAAGCGGCCCAGAATAAGTACGTAAATTGGACGTAATGTCTATCTACGTCAGTTTTTCCATGGCTATTGATCAAAATCCTGCAATCTCATTGGTAAAAACTTACATGTCTCCTGCCTGGAGCGGGGGGCAGGATTCTGGCTCGGGAACCCGATATATGGGCTAAAGAAGTGCTCATTGATGCAGTTTACGTATTCTAGGGACTACCGATAAACTATACTAAAATGTAGAGGACAGTGTTAAATTTTTAATTTTTTTAAGGCTGTTCAGACACCAATAACCTGAACAACAGGGCTTACATGGCTACAAGCAAACTGCGCTTGTTTATGTTTATGTTGTACGATTGGGCAATAGGCGCTTCGTGACGTGCTGTGTCAAGCCAGGTCCGTATAGGTCAAGCCATACAATGATGTCGTTATCTATCACAGTGTTTTTCATGCAAATTGTTTCGAGCACATTCTAGAATATCATTTGCGGTCAAAACTGGAATCATAACTCATCTACATCATGTTGCCGTGCATGTGATAAGGAACTTTGTACGGTAGACTTTAATTTAAGTCCTTCCCAAATGATGCTTTTTACTTCGCGGCAAGCTATGGGTAAGCCCGGTAAGGGTATTAAAATCCGATTCGTTCGGATTTCGGAACAAAAATATTCATTTCGGATTGGATTGATAAAGTTGGCCAAAGTTATTTCGTAGTCGGATCGGATCAGACTTCGATATTCGAAATAAAATGAGCTTCTTGACATGTATTTCTTGCTTTTATATTTCTTGCTTTTATATTTATTTGGTTAAATATTTCCTCTTGAATGAGAAATTTATTTTGTTTCTTCGGATTGGATCGGACTCTCTGGCTTCCGATGCACACCTCTAGACTCTAGTAAGGGTATAGCCGTTGCGATAATTTGCGTGCTTTATACGTACACGGTCTCGCTATTTGCGTACTTACATTTTATTGGACCCAGAAAACCGCCCGAACCCAAGGAATTCAAAATTAACCGCGTAATTAAAGTATCTATTTGCGTAAATCCACGATATGCATGTCTTGGAAGGAAACATATGTTTTGACTGATGGAGTGATGGGACGAGACGGGGGTAAAGAATGTTGGAGTCAATTATATGCGTTTGTACATACAAATGTGCTTCTCCTTATTCTAACTTTCATAATTACAGGCTACAGAGTAGATGCCATTCAGAAAACTGTCTTTGTAATTGTGTAGTTTATATTAGACCATAAGTAAACTTGAGTCTTAAATTTGTATTTTAAGTAACAATTTGTCAACAAGATGTGTTCGCCAGTGGCGGCGGAACAGGGGGGGCTAGGGGGGCTAAAGCCCCCCCCAGAAGTAAAAGTGGGGGGGCTTAGCCCCCCCAGAAAATTTTGTTTCCTCTGGAAAAATTTTGATAATTAAGGAAAAATGTAGGTTATTTTTGGAAAATTTAGGTATAAGGGGAAAAATTTGGGATATTTTGTGTAAAAATCGAGTATGTCCGGAAAAATTTTTTTCATCCCTTTTCTTGTATATGTCCGGAAAAATTTTTGTACCCCTAAAATAGGTATACTGGCCGAAATGTTTTTGGCGACGGGGGGGGGGGAGGTGACGGGAAAAAAATTCAGCCCCCCCAAACTGAAATCCGTTCCGCCGCCCCTGGTGTTCGCCGAACAGGCTTGTAGCAAGCTTGTCAACAAGTAGACTTTCCAAAGTCCTTTCCAGACCCTTCTATGGCGCGCTTCGCTTCCTCTGGTCAACAAGTTGTAACAATGCTGGAATTTTATCAAGTTGCTACAAGGTTGTCGCTCACAACTTGTTGACAAGCTGTTGAATTACAGAACGATAGCAAGTTGTTGGAACAACCTGTAACCAGTCTGTTGAGCTCAATAACCTTGTAAGCAACTGGTTGCCAACAAGCCGTTAACAACTTGTCAACAAGCTGGGAACAAGCAGTGCGAACACATCCTGTTGACAAGTTGTTATAGCAGCATTGCTACAAGTCTGCTGCAGCTAGGTTTGTTACAACTTGTGCGTTTTAATTTTGTACGTGCGTACCAATGTAGTACGACCAAAAATGTTGAATTGCCGCAGTCTATACATCCCTGTTACCTCCAGATACAACAAAACCAAAAAAGCAACAACTGTTCAAAATGATCGTTACTAACAATTATTTCCATAAAATAATAATTACCAGCAATACATTTACCATTACAAGTACATTGATATTTTTTAAATATATAATTCGAAACAAGTATGCCAAATGATGTAAAAAACTAATATTTTTTTACCAAAATTGTTCATTGTTTTGCGATGTATGAGAGTTCAAAGCAACAAATCATACGAGGAATTGAATGTGGATGCTGATAAATTTTGCACCAAATAACTTTCAAAGCTATACTTTCACCATGCATGCACATGGTAGCGAATTTCAGTTTCACATAATCAACTATTATGTGTACAATCTTGAACATATTAAACTGGTTAAGACTACGTTTCCCCTCTATATAAAACTTGCATACTCCTTATGAAACGTGAGAGAGGGGGTGACAAAGTCTCTTTTGCCAATGTGTATTAACTTTGCATTATTGGATGGAACAGTCTCAAGGGTTATATCCAAGATTGTCCAAAGTAGCCTGCATGTACTATACTGTACTTGAACAAAGGCAATTACAAAACGTGGGAATATACAAATTAAAAAATTACAAAATCATAAGAATTATATTAGTGCACCGCTGTACAATTCTAACTTTTTACATTTTTTTTCAATGATTGTCTGTCGATATTGGCAACTATATAGTCTAGTGGTCTGCAACTGCACACAAACTCAACTGCTGCTGAATAGCAATTTGATACAAGAAATCAACGATGCTACCAACAAAATCATAACCGTACAAATTTCAGAATTTTGGACGTGCTTTATAAAGAGTAGGGTGTGATATTGAGGCCTACTTTATAAGGACCGTTCCTTGTTTATAACTAGGTTTAGTTCGGAAGAAAAAACTTTTGCATAACGAACTACAAATAGAGCATTTGCACTCATTCCCCAGGGACCAACTCAACAAAAGCCATGGCGGCCATGTTGGTGTTCCAGACAAAAGAGTCTAATTAAAATTCTTTTGAATTGGAACACCAACATGGCGGCTGTGACGTCATGTGCAAACGCTCTATTCTTGGGTTTCATATGACATCACAAAAGTGACAGGGGGGGGGGGCAACTCTAAAACAAACCACAGTTATCAGTGTGAGTCGATTGTTCGTTTTATGTATTAGCCTTGTGTTTGGTGGCAAATACATGGAATTTTGTATCATTTTCTCACTCCAGTACAGCATAAGCATCAATACATTTGAGGTTGACCCCCCCCCCCCCCAGATTCACTGCATAATGCGACAATGAAACCCAAGAATTAACTAAAATCAGTTTACTTAATCAGTTTACTTAATCATCGAATATTCTCGATCCAGATATATGTAGAGCTCAGTGACCAACTCCCAGCAGCTGAAACATGTTATGATTTCGTAAATTCAATCTAGCAGCAGTCCAGTTTTGTATACATAAGTCAAAGTGTTTATCTACCATTTCGGACCTGGTTTCGTCCACCACGTGGCCCCATTTCAATATCGTAGGGAGGTGGGGGCTCGTTATCGGTATTGGCAAAGCCAGAGTTGTTATGGTGGCGACGTCGGAGGGACATGGTCTTTGCTTTGGGTTTATTCGGGTTACTGCTTGGAGTCGCCACGCTGCATACTTTGATGAAGCCTGTATAGGAAATAACGAGAATTCAGTTAGAGCCAGTAACAAACCTGCAGCAGACTTGTAGCAATGTTGTTCCAACAGCTTGTCAACTGGATGTGTTCGCACTGCTTGTTCCCAGCTTGTTGACAACTTGTTACAAGGTTGTTAAGCTCAACAGACTTGTTAAAAGTTGTTCCAACAACTTGTTATCGTCCTGCAATTCAACAGCTTGTCAACAAGTTGTGAGTGACAACCTTGTAGCAACTTGATGAAATAACAGCATTGTTACAACTTGCTGGCAAGCTTGCCACAAACCTATTGCGAACACATCTTGTTGACAAGTTGTGAGATTTTTACGTCTGTAGTAATTCTTGACTTCCGGCTTCATTTCCAAATCAGTGAAGAATACTCACCAGCCATGAATATAATCAAACCAATACCAATCAAAATGGCTGCCCACCAGTACTCTTTGACCCAGTCCACCAAATTGTCAATCGCATCCCCTCCGAACAGCAAGTTCTTGATCCTTTCAAGAGGTCCCTCAGAGTCAACCCCCCGACATTTACGTAGAATATCACAGTATCCCTGGAAATTGTTACATGGCGCTCCGGGTTGCAAATCGATTCGTGTCTTATTAGATTCGTTGTGGGGTGAACAACTTTTTTCATCCATACCAACCATACAACAGAGTAAACACTGATTTTCTTCTTTTTTGCATTGGCATTCCTTCTTACCGAATTTCAAGCATCGTGAACCCTTGCACTCCTACAAAGGAACAAGCCGGTTTAAGCGTACCTAAAAGGCTTCCTAAATGTAATGGCAATTTGCGTAATAGCAACTAACCGGTGACGCACAATGGTACACACGTAAAAACCCACAAGTTGTTACAAGTCTGCAAACAAGTTGTTACAAGTCTGTTCACAAGCTGTCAACAAGTTGTGTTCGCACTGCTTGTTCCCAGTTTGTTGTAGCAATATTGGAACAAGCTGTTAACAACTTGTAACAAGCTTGATGGCATTATCAGCCGACTAGTTACAAGGTTGTTCTAACAAGTCTGATACAATCATGATATAACAAGGGTGTTACAAGGTTGTCAACACAAGGTTGTAACAATCTTGTTATATCAAGCATGTAACGGACTTGTCAGAACAACCTTGCAACAAGTCTGATAATTTCGACAAGGTTGTTACAAGTTGTCAACAAGTTGTTCCAAACCGGTTG